TTGTCTCTGGATCGTTTTGAAGTAATTTAAAGTTTTTAAGAATGATAGATTCGACTGAGTGGCTGTGAGGGTGAAACGTGAGAGTGAATGGAATGCGGTCGGAATCTTCCTTTTGTAACGTTTGTAGTGCTGAATGTCGATCGATAAGTTGGGCGCGGTGGTAACCCGCTTGAACGACAGAAACAGGGTACCACGTTTATCGAAAAACTGGCACATTGACTCTGATTTGTGGTGGAAATCAGAGTCATCACTACATAAACGGCGAAGTCTTAGAAACTGAGAAAAAGGAATGGAATTCTTAACGGGAGATGGATGCGAAGACGAATATAACAAGTAATTATGCGAGTCTGTAGGTTTGTAATGTGCATAAAGTAGTTGCCTTATGCACTAGTACATAAACCGTTGCCTTCAATTGAAACTTGGATGTCTAAAAAGGATAAAGACTTGTCAGAAATTTCCCCGGTATATTTCAGAGCCGGGTGAAAAGAATTGACTGCGGTTATGAATTGAGTGAGCTCCTCTCTGGTAGAAGGGGTAGCGCCGATACTGTCGTCGATGCAGCAACGTAGAGTTCAGGTTTGGAGCCGTTGTATTGGCTGAAAAATTGGTGTTCGACAAAACCTACAAAAAGATTGGCATAGCTAGGTGTTAGTTTGTGTGAGGAGAACTAACTCGTGATACGATCACCTGAAGAAAATTACTCGAGACCGCGCTTACAACCAAGATGGCTGACTCAGACTAAGTGCGCCGTACGGCACTAGACAACGTGACAGGCGACTCGACTCGACTCTGGTGGACAAATCAATCAATCAATCAATCAATCAATAAGTAAATCATTCAATCAATCAATCAGTAAATCAATCAATCAATCAATCAGTAAATCAGATCGAGCTATAATGTGACTATACACTCTGTGTAAGCCACACAAAAAACTAGTTTCAATCAAAATCTGAACATGTGAGTCTCTTCGTGACAACAAAACACGATCATGATCAACTGTACATAGTGTTTGGTACCACTCTGGGCATGTTGGTAGGTAAAAAGCTAAAAGCGATATCGCCTTTGTCTGACGGTCGCGTTTTCCCGCGCTTTTATAGAAGGTTTGCGGTCGCGGTCTTCCCGTGCTTTAGACAGCTTGCGGTCGCGTTTTCCCTCGCAGTAGAGAGTTTGCGTCTTATTACCTATAGTTGTCATCAGCTCCTAGTTACATTATCCTTTGTTGTGATTGGCTGATGTGTTTATTTTGGTTTTGGTTTTACAACAATTATTTGAGATACACTTTAGTTGTACAATTTGCGGTCTTAAATCTTTCCACCCACCATATGCCTCTATATCGATTGATTTTCTCTCAGTTAATAATATCTTGAAAATCCACCTGAGTGACACTCAGTTTTCAGATGCTTTAAATGATTTTAACTTCTTTGATATACGTTGAGATCAAATAGTACCAAAAGATATAAGATCCTTATAAACAAACATCTGATAACTAAAAGGACAATAGCCTATTTCTGAATTACCCTAGGCCTCTTTTTCAAAACGAGGCCTGGTGCTCAACCATTCTTTTGAAAATTAGTTTAATTTGCATGTGAAAACTTATTATCATATGAAAGGATGAGCACCAGGACTCGTTTTGAAAATGAGGCCAAGGGCAATTCGGAAATGGGCTATTTGTTACTCTTTCGTTTGTGTACTCTGAGTAAATTATGACAATCTCAGTATTGTATTCAAAGGTGTAAAGTAATTACGAAGAAATGTTGCTTTTGCTGATTAACTAATCATTTAGCTAAGCGAAACATTTCTAAATAAGTAAACCCGATCAGTTATTAGTAAATATAAGTTAGAAAACGTAAAAGATGGTGTATACAGCATTGGCTTTGCCTTTCAAAATTTATTTTTTGGTGAGCCAGCTGTAGTAAAATATCATACCTAAATGCAGAAACGTGTTTCACACTTTACTGACCTAAAACAGTTTGCAAGTAAGTTAAACTTAGTCGGCTCGTAACGTAAAACCTTACTTGAAGTCAAAAACTTATGACGGGAGATAATAAAGGAGAAATACCAACAACACAAGATATATGGATATATGGCGCTAAGAAGTATCAAAATACTTTTGTAAGAGCCATGGTGATGCAGTTTAATGACAGACAACCAATCGAGCTTGACACGTAGTTCGTGACTTGCTCCGACGTAAGATTTGTTGTCACGGCATGACTAGTTCTTACGCTTGTGAGCGGTCAATCATTCATGAGACTCATGATATCAACTCGTCATGATTTTGTGATTAAGTATTCAAAAGATACTTTTTCGACCTTTTTTCGTAACAGAAAATGTTTTTATCAAACATTTGAAATGTAAATGTTTTTGTTTCTTTTTCGATCCGTTTTGCGAATACTACGACAGAAATTCGAAGTCTACTTCTTAAGTTGGCTGATTCCTTACTTTCTTTGGATCACTGATTTCCACAAGGCTAATAGAAGCTCGCAAGCTAATTATGAAATTCCTCTAACTTCACACTTATCTGTTTCAACTTCATTTTTCTGTAAGGTGGGTGTATTTATTCTGAGTTGGTGGGTTAATACTGCTTCTCTGCGTTGGATCGATGAGCAACAGAATGCCAAACTCGGCATCTGCAGCCCACACACTTGTGTTGCATTGATGAAATAAAGTTTACTGTAGTATTTCTGCTTTCCGCAAGCAAAGCTTCAGGCCAATCATCTTTTTTCAAAATTATACGTAAGTCTCCAATACCACCTGACACTTTTGGGTTCAAATGTTATTCTTAATGGGTCGTTAAATTGTTTCCTTTCTATTAAGCGGTAAAGAAGTGGAGTGAGGGTACCTCCAAAGCAGCAAACCCGAAGAAAATGGAGGGATTTAACAAATTTAAGGAGACTTCGTAGATTCACAAGCCTTGTTGAATTCGTAACATTGAGGGGTTGCGAGCTTATTATTTTTGCGGAGTTGCGAGCTTATTAGTTTAAGAATCTCACGAAAGTCCGTCAAATGCATCGAATCCTTCAACATGGCAAGCTCGCATCAGTTGAAGTTTTCTTCGTTTAGCAGTTTGAAAAACTCTCATAAGAATTCTTCTCGAGAAACTTGACAAAACAGGCAACTTGTCGAGTTTGCATGAGTTAAGGCCGAGTAGTGGTTTCAATGATGCAAGCAGTTCAATGGATTTGACGAAATTCCAGTGTGCTTGAAAGACAGTAAAAATCAAAGATAAAATCAATGGCGCTGCAGTTCAGCCAGAGAGCTCCCTGATCATACGCAATCCTTTGTTTTTCTGTTTTTTTTTTTTCTCTTTGCCTCAGTCACTGTATGTTTGTATCATACGTGATACAATTGACCCTTGCGTATGACAAGGCCCATCAAAACAAAAATAGAGATATGCGCCTAACGGATGTTCACATTTCAAGCTTGCGGTTCCTTTTCAGTATACGCTGTGAAAATGACATGTGACTCAGATACTAAATCAATGTCCTAAAAACTACCAGCAGGCCGAAAACGAATATCCTCGATCCTTCTTAAAAATTTAGGACTTTGTGGTCGACAGAATTATCGCTTGACCTGAGCTGTTGAATCACGCATCTCGCGTCATGACCAATATTATTAATGATATGCATAATCCCGTGGAGCGTTTAGGTTGTGACGGTAAACAAAATCAAAATGGCCTTCACTCTCACAAAGCTTGTGACGTCGTTCCAGTCAGTTTTTCAGAACCATTCAGGAGCAATCAGAAACACAACTATAGCGCTGATAGTTTTTGGAATCAACGCCGTTGTTCAAAGCGAGGATTTTTTTCAATGTCCGCCAGATGGTTTTGCATTGTATGCAAGCTGTTTCTTCGTCATCCCAGCTTTGTTTTTATTTCTCGTGACTATATTTCTTCATAGCGGATTCTGGGATTTGGTGCGTGGATGTTGTTTTTACGAACAGCAGCAAAGGAGAGGATCAAAACGTTGCTGCTGCTGCTTCTTCCCTCGCTGGCCATGCAGCAGAAAGCTCGTGGAAATCGTATTTCAGAGTTCTTTGTCTGGCTTCATTTGGATCTTCTGGGCACTGTTACAGCGAGACTATTTTGTATGTGCAGCTCTCGGAGGAACGAAAGAAGCAAAATTGCTAACGGCCTCAACCCAGGAGAAATTAAAAATCGAAGCAGACTACGCAAATGCAGGGAAAATTTCCCAAACAGCCGCCTTATTGCTACTCGGTTGTTCTCTGTTAGGGGCTTTCCTTGTTATTTCAATCCAGAGATGCTGTTTTCAGCGAGAAATCGGCTCATTGCCAAGTCCTTTTACTTACAAAATACTCGAAGCAGAAGCGGCAGTTGAAGCATTTAAAGAAAACATGGAAAAGTTAGCACGAGAACAAGGTAAGAGACGAGCAGACCTGTATTTTGCTACGGTGCAGCAAAACCCTTCCGACATACTCAGAAACGCTTATAATCATTTGATCGCCGTAAATAAATTCGACGAAGCGTTTCCTTCTTTGGAAGATTATCAACTTCTTCAAGCTCAGGCAGCCGTTACCGCTTTTAAAGAAAAAGTTCAACAAGAAGGCAAACAAAAAGTCGACATGACTTTTGTGGACACAACTTGGCGCGAACTTGAAGGAAATGATATGTTCTCGCTAGTTGGTCAAGCGCATGAAGCCATGGCGGAAAGATATCCTCGATCAACAGGCGACAGGACGCAGCCATACGTGAAGGAAAGGGATGATTCTGACAGCCTCAGGGGAAGCGTGTCTCGAGGAGGAGGAGGAAACGATATTGAAATGTTTCCTAGAGCTTAAGTGAGTTTACTGAATTTATAATCGAAAAACTGGTCTACCAATACTTGCTCTGACAAAGTAATGTTTTTACCACATTTAAGTAGGAAAGAAATCAGTACATGAACAGCTATCTAGATTTAGCAAGAACAGTGTTCATAGGATACTGGTAAACGGTTATCATGAAATGTTACCTCATCGATCAGTACAGTTATATGTTCTATCCAAATGTTGACTTTGCCGGTAATAAATAATTAACAGTTCGGATTGCTAGATTACTAGCCGATCGGAACGACCGTAATCAAATCAAAGCCCTATGTAACAGAACATTGTCCATGGGTTTAGCTCATGAAACAATATCTAGATTGAAGTATGGTATGAAAGCCGTCGCTTCACTGTATGAAATTGAAGCATTTGTTTTGTTCTAAAGTTTCGCCATAAATAGCGAACCGGGATAGAACATGTAGTAACCAAGGCTGCGATTATTCAGCGTAGTGAATGCAATTGTAATGAGGTTAAAATGTTTGTCTCGCCACAGTTATGGTCTAGCGATGCAGTCACATTTTATGTGGATCTCGATTAGATCCACATGGGAAGTGATTAAAGATAGCGAAACAAAGGTTTATACCTCATTACAAATGAACAAGAAGGTGGAAGGAAGTACAAATGTAAGCCAAAGGAAACGTGTCGTTGGTGGGAATTTGATTAAATTACCAGAGAAAAACTGGATGAGTGGGAAAGGAATACAGCACTGACAAATAAGATGTATAACTTAGATTTAAATATCTTCTATAAAATATAGATAGATTGATTTTTGGTTTATAAGACCTCTTACAGTATAAATAACTGAATTACAGGTCTGGCCAGCAAAGAATAATAAAAAATTTGCACAAAGTATATATTTAAGGGAAAATTGATAGCATATCTCTCAAAAAGAACATCTCATAAGAATTGTCATTTACCTTTTCCATATTTCGGATATAAGTAATAATCATTCCCCGAAGTGAAGGTCGATAGTAGTGGATATACATGAACCAGATTCAACATGACTCATACATGAACCAGATCCAACAACACTGACAGGGGCAAATAGCACACAAGAACCGTAGAAATAATGTAGTATATTTTTGTCAGTTTACTGACGTGTCACTTGTGAAGGTTTGTGAGATATAAATATAGTTCTTGATTTGTGACTGGAACTTTCGATCCATTGGTAAAGGTAAGATCGCTGGTTTCGTTTGTGTAGGTAATCACCGCAAGACTTTAATTTTAGTGCATTTTGGGATAAAGAAATTTTTTTTGAAATACTGACAAAACTGATGCCGTAAATAGATGGTTTGTATAAACCGTTAGCTGGTTTAGGGAGCTCCGATTTAAGTTACTGTCACTTGCCCTTCCAAAGTCAATCGTACGTAGAAGACAGCTGGTGCTGTAGGATCAGGATTGATTAGAATCTCACCTAAAATAATCGTCCGAACATGACCTCGGAAAGAATATGTTCTGTCGCCTGGACTTACGAAATCCCAGTACTTGGCAAACTGATATTGAACTGAGATTTACCTTGAGTGACCATAACAGAAAGAGTCAATCGATTGATAAACGTGAATACTGTCACAAATTATCAGTGGAGTCCAGTTGGTGTTTGAGACTCTACACTTTAAACAGGTAGCCTCCAGAAAGAAATTATAGAGATTGCTCAGTCCTTTGGATACGATGGATGAATTCGAATGCTCAACTGAGCCTAATCGAATATTCCTAACAGCTGTAGATTGATTCAGCAGCAATCACTGTTGTGGCGGATTGAAAGCTATTTAAACCAATTCTCCTACATCCGGCTTTGCGATATCATTTGAAGGCTTAAGCACTGGTCTATCCTAGTTTTTAGCAGGGCAAAAAACTGTGTCATTGTGTCAGTTTTCAGCCACTCCTTCAGATGTAAGAAGAGCCTTAGTATGGGTGCATTTTGATTTTTTTAATCTGCTTTAGACTTCTCTACAGGCCCCCGAATATCGTGGCTTACTCATTTCTGTGGGCTACGCAAAAATGTTGCACGCTGTTCAAGTGATGCACAGTGCAGTGCGAGTGGTGAGCTTGTTGTATTTAAGTAGTTTATAACTTAGGTTGTGAGTCGATTCCAGTTTGTGAATTTGGAGCAGTTTGTTCTCATCGCAGGTGCACGAGACTCTCGACAAAGGAAAGTCTTTTATCGTCTTCAATTTTCCATGAAAACTGTCAAAACCGCCTTGATGATGGTTGCAGCTCACCGTGTTGTAGGTCAAATGGAAAGATATGTCTTTTATTCATGGTGTTAAATGTATCTCGATGAGTATAACCACAGCGTCAATTTCAAACCTGGAAAATTGTTGCCTGCCCGAACACTGGTGAGTCATTTATTGTAATTAATGCTACTTCGGTCATCAAAATTACCAAACTGTGTTCTTTTAATCACGAGAGAAACACCAAGCTGACCAGTTGACAGTCCCTGCAACCCTCTGAATGCGTTCACATTTTTAGGGATCGAGTGACCACACACGTTATGGCTTTTCATGGTTCATCTCCCC